GATTTTATGGACGGCTGGAAATGAAGAGAATAAAAGAGAAAAATACTTGCTCAATCAAAGTAACATCCCGTAGCATCAATGCATTATCGCCAACGTAAAGCAAATTCATTTACATCATGCTTGTAAAAATTAGTTCATCTGGAAGTAATGAAGTCCTCTGCTATTCGGTAAGTTGATGCATCACTGGTAAAACTTTTATTGGATAAAAAATGGATCAAATGCTGAAAAAAATGATAACCTGGTGGGAAAATTTCAGGAGAGCATGGAAGGTGAGACAGGAATTCCCTATCCTAAACTGCTGGTTTTCTATATGGTTGACATTTGAACAGCAACAAGGATGATCACTGTCGTTAACTTTCGCAAGGAAGCTCTTTTAGTGTTATATCACCCCGGCAGACCGTTTATTGATTTTAAAGATAAAAGCTACATGAGCATACAGGGCCAAAAATAAGTATGGTTATGAGTATTACATACATACATAGTATACAAGGCCAAGTGAAATGTACGTTAAGAAGTACAATCATAGTTTTGCAGTTTCATGAGCTGAAAATACACATTGAATTTTAATGTATTGTTCAGCAGTTAAAGGCGAATAATCAAAGCTGCATATACTAATAATATAAGGTTCAAAATCTTAGCTACAGTTTTAAGCAATAGACATGTTACTTAGATGTTTTTCACTATTCATAACTCAATATCGAGTTTTTCTAAGATGCCGAGACGTAACACAAAACTTGATACTATTATTATTATACGCCAGACAACAGGGGTTCCGTTGCCTTGCAGTCTAGCAGACTGTCTTACACAGATTAAAGCCTCTGCCTCCGGAAGCTATCTACTATTCTCTTCACCACAACCGGGGTGGGTGGCAGGTCAGAACGCAATTACTGAGTCTTAAAACAAAGAGATACATTTGCAAACAAGGCCAGTGTGCAACAGAGTTTTCAATACATAGTCTGGATTTACAATTTTTCTTCTAATACATACGTCATACATTTATCACAGCTTATTTACAATCAGTCCTATGCGACAAACTTAAGCCGTTAATATTGATTTTAGACATGCAATTTTACACAGTTCTATAAAAATTCCTGTGACTAGAGATACAATTATTGTTTTCAGAAAAATAAATAGTCTACATAAACATACATCTTAGATATACAATTATAAGACATTTCTCTTTCAGACAATTATTATACAATTTAGCATTAAAATCTTAGGGATACAAGGAAAACATTGGTACACCAGTCAATGTTAAGCAAAATCTGTTTTTTTTTTTTTTTTTTTTTTTTTTTTTTCAAAAGAACTTCCTAAATAGCTATATAGAACGTAGAGATTTAATTCTAAAAACCTCTAAATGCATCTTACCGTAAGATAGCAGAATTAAGTTAGATTTACAGCATACCATAAGCAAAGTTCCTATTAATCATTACTATTAACTTCTTTAACCTATCAATACTTGAATACTGTTGTTGAAAATTAAACCAAGAGTACCAATTAGTTACATGAGAACTATACACCACAGTATTTGTGATATTTCAGTACATACTTTTACCATTCTATTAAATTTATATTCAACTCAGATACTTCAAATAAAAAAATTATATATATATATATATATATATATATATATATACATGCAAGAGAGTTCAAGAGACAGTTAATAATGGAACATACAATGAATAGAATACAACAATCAACCTGCAAATACTTAGATACAGTTTTTACAACTTGCGGTATATGGTCAGGCATTATCTTTAAGCCTCCACGTCTACTCACAAATGCTGTTGCTTAAGGCAGTGGCCTCAAACTGGCGGCCTACGGACCGCATGCGGCCCCCCAAGCAATTGTATGCGACCCGTAAATACATTTTAATCATGATTTTTCTTTGTTCCTAACGTACCAAAAGTTAGCAGATGGATATTGAAACAATAACTAAAACAGATAACTTTATCCCAGGAAGAGCTTTGAATCATTGAGTTTGTACCGTTTAGAAGAAAGCAAAAGAGGACACAGAGAAATTAGCAAAACGAGGTGAGGTAGTTATGTCGAGGAGCAGTATTAAAGCAATTTTTTGGACTAAAAAACTGAAATCAAAATTTTCATGACACAAAAATAAATAAAGAAAGAAAGCCATTGACTATCTGTATAATAATACATGGATAACTGATTTAGCATTCCTTGTTGACTTAATCGTACATTTAAATACTGTCAATAAAGAGCTGCAAGGAAAGAATAAACTTATCATTGACACGTATGCTTGTATTACAGTTAAAAGGCAGTTTTGGGAAACAAACTTAAATCAAAATATTTCGCACATTTCCTCCGCCTTAAATTCTGCCCTTTATTTCAAATGGAAAATGTCAAAAATAAGCAAGAAAAATGGTATTATTACGAAATGAATATGAAGAAAAGGTATTTATTTTAATCATTGATAATCCAGTCTTATATTCCTTACTATTAAAATGAACTTAATAATGCACCAGAAAACCTCCAAATGGAGCTAATTAATTTACTAATTTGATACAAATCTCATTTCTTTGGTCCATCTTTGGCGGCACAATTTTGGGGGTGGCGTTTCTTATGTGAAACTTTATAAGGGTTAGTCATATATGGATCTTCGGAGCAGAAAAACTAGCTGATATTTATTGGATTACAGCCAATTATCTCTAAGTCATCGTGCAGGATTAGAACTCCCCGCAAAGAGCTTAAAACACTGCAAATTGGCTCATATTCACATTACGAAAGAGGCACTGGCTTGTATTCACGTTATGCTTGCGTAAATACAACGTTACATGCTCTCCGTTACGCATAATGCAGCCACACCGTTGTCTGGGATTTGACCCCCAGTTGAGAGGAGAAGAACCACGAGATGCTAACTAGTGATATAAAATTGAATTGAGAAGAGATTTGTTTTTACACTAGACAGTGTATTCAAAGAAATTACGATGACACTTCAATAGTTTCATTTTCTTGCTATGCCTTCCTTACGCTATCGAAACTTTTGAAAGGAAAATGGCAGTTAAATTATGCTTTTAATGACATAAATGCGGAAGAATTTTCACAGAGGGGAAAATACTTCCAAATTTTATTTCTGTTTCTGCTTGGGAAGACGAAACCAAGAGGTAGAAGAGTCGATTCGAACTTTTATAGTTTATTCTAAAATACTGTTTCCAAAACGAAATTCCTAATATAGTAGTTGTACTTCGAATTTTCTTAACACTTGCTATAAGTATTACTTGCTGTGAGATGAGTTTTTCTAGATAAAAATTCGTTAAAATTGACTAAAAAGCACTTAAGATATAAATATAAGTATCTTTTATTTAACAATCATGAACTGTCAATAGAAGAGCAATAGAAGTAATGAAGCAAACTTTTAGAATGTCACTGACAATTTTGTTAATAGAAAAGAAAGCAAAATGACATTTTAAACTGTTGGAATGAAAATTTTATTTCAAAAATTAGTTCACAACTGTTATTTATTTCCCTGTATGCTGTTTTAACTTTTATAGATTCCATTTTTGTGGCGTACATTGAAAAAAAAAAAAAAAAAAGAGAGGCAAAAACTAGTTACGCCATTGATACTTTATTAACTTTTATTCGTACCTCTTAAAAGATAAATACTCTCAGTTACGAATTTTTGCTTTGTTTGGGGAGTACATTTACATGTAAACAGTGTTTCCTGCAGTTGAAATTTGATTAAGTTTGACAAAAGAACCCAATTGATCGATGAGCATCTACAATCCGTGATGGAGCTAGTTTCCAGTAATTTTTCTTTACCTTTATCAAAATCGAAACGCCGTCAAGTGGCAAGTTGTAGTAAGAAATAAAAAAATTTATAATTATTTACATACAAAATATAAAAAATAATAAATAAAAAGAAAAGTGTTGTCATTATTTATTCTCCCGTTTTGCCTTATTTAAAACGTTTTCTCTGGAAATTAGGAAAGGTTTTGTAAAATTTACTTATTTTTAGATTTTTAGTTTAAGTAAGTAGTACGGTGGTTAATTCAACATTTTAGAACAGTGGTTCTCAACATTTTTCACCTCACGCACCTCTTTTATCACTGCTTATACGATAATTCCCCCTCCTTTTCCAAAATTCGAAAAATAATATATATTTATTTAAACTGATATTATTTTTAATGTGTTTCATAAATTACACACGAAAACGTATAGAAAATTTTGAAAATTACCAAAATTTGAATAAAAGTAGTTTTTTAGATTCATAAATTAAAACGAAACCCTTAACACGTAAATGAAAGGCTGCCCGCATTCTTGAAACTAAGTATTAACTCCTCAGAAACTAAGAAATCCTCGAAACTAAAAAATTCCCATCTAAGAGGAATTCACCCCTAATTGAAGACACGTGTATTAAAATTATTTAAAAATAAATGTCAGTTTCAAAATTTTACATTTATATGACAATATAAATGTAAAATTTTGTTTTGCAAAAGTTTTGTTAATATATGTTTTAATGTTTTGCAAAAGTTTGTTATAAAGTTTGATTTGCAAAATGTAACCAAAAAAATTTCTCGCAGGTATTAAAATTTAGATTTCAAATAAAAAATAAGTTTGAATTTTTATCTTTGCGTTATTTATGTTTTTATAAATGTTTGTAAGGAATTATAAACTTTAAAAAATAGAAAAATGAATTTAACAAAAAAAGGAAAGAATCTCATAATTTTAGTGAGGGAGAGAAGAAAAAATTATATGTTTGAGAAATAAAAAAAAAGATAGTTATAGAAAAATACTGTCGAAAAAACTGAATATTATTAAAACAAATTTTCAATTAAAATATTCGAGGCAAATTAAATGTTAAAAATATATTTCTAAACATATTCTAAACTTACACGCAACACACCGTACACAAGCGTAACGCTTTCATCTGGTTATAAAGGGGTGATATCCACACATTAGGGATATATACGGTACAATATTATATATATATTTTTCTATATATCTATATGAAATATAATTTAATAAGTAATTATCTTTAGTCATTTCAAGTTTCAGTTCGTGAAATTACACTTGAAAAGGCCTTGGCGTGTCAGAAAGCAGAACATGAATATTCAGGCACCCCATGTGGTATTATGGATCAGTTTATATCATTTGTGGGTGAAAAAGATCATGCTTTGCTTTTAGACTGCTTTCTCCTTCTTGCTGCTATAAAAAAAGTTGCTGCCTCTCTTCCCATCTATCTCCCTTTGTTTGAATAGTATGATGCAGTAAATTTAAAGTTAATCCTATTTAGTTTAAATTACTATGGCATACGTAATTTTGGAGAATCTTAAAAGAATAATGATCTGCCATTTGAATTGAATAAAGATGTGGAATCAAAACAGTTAACTTCTTCTTTGTCATCATTAGATGCCAAGTTTCATTATTCCTGTGCCCGAGTGCCACAATATGACATATATATGTTACGGTGAAACACCGAAATCTGGAGAATGTCGACTTTCACCGGTGAATGTCAACATTCACATAGTCGCTTGGTGTATGTCCGAAATATTTTAATATTTTCCAAATACTCTTATTTCTGACTTACACCGGTGAATGTCGACATTCACCATGTACTAATGGTGAATGTTGAACATATAAGAATATTATATTTCCTTCTCCGTACTTCATTCGCGAAAAAACGCACTTAAGACTCAGAATAAGAACTTAAGAATATAAGAACTTAAAACACACAGTACATTCAAAATGAGAAAGGAAAATAATAGAAGTTATAAACTTACCAAATTATGTGATTCAAATCTTATTTATTGCAACAACTTAAACTATTATGACACTTTGAATTGCACAAGAGGCCCTTGCTTTTACAACTGCATTTATTTGTGGAACACTTCCTTTTGGAATGGCTGCGTGTACATATACTCCTCTCTTTTCGACCTACACCAGAGCATATCTGTGATTGTCGACATACACCGGTGAGGGTCCGAATGTACAAGAATGTAAAGAAATATTCGATCTTTCACCGACGTATTTGGTGAATGTTGACATTCTCCGGTGAAAGTCGACATTCTCCAATTTCGGTCTTTCACTGTAACATATATATGACACACACACACATATACATAAATTCCCTCTCATTTTTGTTTGTTAAAAAATTGTATCTATCAGCTGCTTTCAGACAGTGCATTCGGTCTGCATGCCATTTGAAACCACAGGCGTTAAGGTACAATTTGCCAAGCATTTGTCGCATATTCGTGCAATATCGAATTGAAGTTATCACTTCACCTCGTGGAAGGAATGATTAGTTATTAACACTAATAGAAGGTCCAGTAAACAGCCAGTAAATAGCCATGTTGTAAACAAAAACATCTTTAGTTGCAAAGATGCTTTTGGAGTTTTTGTTCGAATGTCTTTCACTTTTAACCACGGCGACGAACGTATACGATAATCATAGTATAAAGGCAGGGGTGGCGACTTTAAAGACTACAATTAGACTTTAAAAGATTAGAAGATTATACAGATTATTTCTATTTTTTTATAGAATATTCACATCAAAATTTGCTTTGAAGTAAAGATAATTTACCATTTTTTACACAATATGATTACATATAATCATATTTATTTTGCTGTGCATTTAGAAAACATTTCCTACGATATACAAATTTGAAACTATTGTATGATGCGAATGAACACATTTTTTTTCAGAGAGGAAAAAAAAAACTAAACATTTTCTTCTTGTTTTATCCTTATTTATAACTTTTGAATGAATTTAACAGAATAAGCTGAAGTCGAAAAAAGACATAATGGCCTTTACAATAATGCTCTCATTTACAATTATTGACCTGCTGTAAAAGAAATAAACTGAAGCCGAAAGAAAGAATAGTAGCGATCTTGGCAAATGCAGGTAGAAGCTAAGCTAAGCATCTCCCGTAGTATCACAGGTGATCGAGGTATCGCTGAACCTAGTTAACTGTTAAACTTACGCACCAGTTTTGAAGGAGATTGCGCTGAGGGTATCCCACCCCTCTTTCTTTATCTCCAACTTCTTGAGAGGACTTTGAGCTCGCTGTATATTTTCAGTACCCCCTTGCCGCATAGACACTATACGCTTACAAACATCCATACCCTCCCCGGGATTCGAACCAGAGCCCATCGTACGACAGTCAGACTCATTAACAACCACTATATCGGCTAGGCCGCTCTTGTCAGTTACAAAAAGGTAAAAAGCTTTCCATTCGAATGAAAAAGAAAGTACCATTTGATAATTACACCAATGATTTTTTTTTTTTTAACTCATGCGTAATTCCTAGTTTTATTGATACACATGTAAGTTATTTTCTCCTTCATTACAGAGTACTTTCGTGGTGTAACTAGAAAGCACGTCGAGTTAGCATCGGAAGGTCTGGACTTCGAATCCCGGCGAGGGCATAGCACATTTTTCACGTCTTCTGCTCCAAAATAAAACAGCTAATGGTTAGCTAAGTACTTAGGAACAGATGTTTCTAGTAAATCTGCACGGTTCTGCAACACTTTAATATGCCAAAACTGCTAAATTACGAAGACAGTCAGCTGACTTAGCTTGTCATCTGCTTTCTAATAAGAAACTTAAAGTGAAGGTTTAAAATAAAACCTGTTAATTAAAATATCAACTTGACGGTTTCGCAAAACTGAAGAATATATCAGAAGCGCAATCTCCGCAGCTTGCAGGAAACGCAGAACAATCGCTTAATTCAAAGCAAAATGTGAAATAATACTAAGCATGCGTCTGAACAAGCCTTAGCTCTGTTCTAGTTATTCGCAAAGCAAATCGGCTTGCTGAAGCTCAAGCCTATAAATCAATTAAAGCAGCAGGGAAGCGTGAAAGAATAACGGTCATCAAAGACTGCCAAAAGCTTTCTCTCAAACTCAATTCTGCTCTTATTTATATTTTAACTAATTGGTATTCTGGTGAGGGTTGACGAAAGTAAAAGTATAAACAAACTAACAAAGTTAGTGCGTTTATTAACTTAAAACCTTATTAAGTGATGACCTAAATTCATAAAATTGATTATAAGGTATTTCTCCCACTTCTTAGCATGCCTTCATGGTGTAATGGCCAGCACACTAGACGCGACGTCCGGGGTTCGAGTCCCGGCCAGGACATTGCACATTTCTTCAATTTCCTGATTAAAAAAATACCTAATGACTCTACAGTGGTGCCCGAACTAAAAAGGTGGTGGATGACGATTCTCCACCACCACGATCTGGGAACACGGTCTCCTAATCCCCAGTGACCCTTTAAAACGGGAAGTATATAAGGTATTTCTCTCGCCTTCTTAGCATGCCTTCGTGGTGTAATGGCCAGCACACTCGGCGCGTATTTGAGAGGTCCGGAGTTCGAGTCCTGGCGAGGGCATTGCACATTTCTTCAATTTCCTGTTTCAAAAAAATACATGATGTCTCTACATGGTTAATATATTACTGTAGATGTATTTTCTTTTGCTGAGGTATTTTTTTCCTATTAACTTTTCCCCCTTTTCTTTAGCTCACATCAGCGCAAAAGTACAGCATATAATATATATAGACCACAACGTATGTGTTAATCTACAACTTATATTATCGGTAAGGCTTCCGATTAAGAGCAGGTTGTTAACAGTTAAATTTCTCGGAAGACAAAAATTATATACAGATTTGCAACTTATGCTGGCGATCCTGACCTTCGAGTAATCCAAGGGTTAATTCTCTTTTATTATAAGATAAACAAAACATTCATCTCCTTCTTCTCAGCTTTAAAAGCTTTGATGCTGTTTTAAGGCATCTCGTTAATTATGTATTTATTCTCCCGTATTACAGAAACGAATAGTTTGTGAATAATAATCTTGACTTTTCAAGCTTTTAGATGAATGGAATATTTCTTGTACTTTTTTCATATTCTTAACTTCTTCATTCTAGATTAAAAAATGACTTACAGTTTCAAAGAATGTTTAAGATTATAGTCTAACCCTTCATCAAAACAGTCATGTGCGATGAACGGTCAGACTGTTCAAAACACACCGTTTTTGTTTTGACGAAAAGGAATTCTGGTACACCTAGCATATACTTCAGAATTCGAGCGCTTTTCATTCAGATATGTTTTAAAATACTTAGTCATTTTCCTAGATCAGTTTATCAACGTTTTGAATATCCTAAAACGCCGCAAGTCATCTTTGAATACGTTCAATACCATATGAGTGAAAATCTACCGAAAAACGCAGACTGTCTGAGAAAGAAAATGAGGCAGCACATTTTTGAGATTCTACGTTTACGATGTTATGCTTTATAACAATGGCGCACGAGTTTAAATGGGATTTCTCATTAACATGCGTTGTCACTAATTTATATTATGGCAAAATTCAAACATCAAAGTGCAGAAGGCAGAATTTTAAGCTACGTTCAGCGATCATAACGAGGATTTTATTTCTCTGAATTTTTCAGTTTTAAGTGCTTAATGTTTTCAAAATGAAATTTCGCGGCCACTCCTCTGTTGCACAGTAAGTAATTAATGAATTGCGCGTCTCGGTGAATGTACAGATGCTGAATTTGTGCTGTAATTAACTGACTGTAAAGTCACACAGAAAAAATAATCTTAGAATGACGACGATTTTATATAAAATTCTATCAGTTTCGACGCCAATTAAGGGAGTTTCCTTCCTCCCCCCAGCAAGAAGGAACGAAATAGCAAACAATCCTCCCCCCCCCCACAAAAGAAGGACATATGTCAGTCGCCCACGAAATACTTAGAGCTTTACTTAAAAACTATGCCAATCGAAGAACAATTTTTTATTTTTTAATTGGGGGTGGGTGGGGTTAATTTCACATTAGCATGTGTTTCTTCCATATAAATTACCCCACTATTAAGTATATGTTTTTAGACCCACCTCGTATAAATTTTATTATATGTCTTGGTTTTTCTGCTTATTTTAATTTGAACAGAATTCCGTTTTAAAGCTAAAACAGAATGTAAAATATTTCGTTTTACTTTTGGTTTTGCATAATTCTTTACTCATGCCTATATGGATGACAAAACACGCATTGAGTAATTGAAGAGTTAGGTTTGGAGGCAACTTCTCCTTGAAAAGATCTATCTCCTGCCTGCTCAACAATTATTCAGTATGAAAAATAATCTAGTCTTAAAAATTCTTTAAAATTTTAGGTTTGATTTTTGGATTATTAAATTTTTTTCATGTATTTAGATGCGTGTACTTAATTTACATATGCTTTGTGAATTTGAATGATATTTCAAATTAGTTCGCAGCAATAATTTATCTTTTATTTGTTGACAATTGAATTTTCATAATTTAAAATTTAAATTAGCTTTATATTGCATTTCAAATTAGTTCGCAGCAATAATTTATCTTTTATTTGTTGACAATTGAATTTTCATAATTTAAAATTTAAATTAGCTTTATATTGCAATGTTCCAATCTAGAATTTACAGCAATGTGTGTGGAACCTTGAGAACTGGTAAGCGAATAATCGGTTAGTTCAGAAAGCTAGAAATCCTCAGGATTCTTCGCAGCTATTTGTCTGATCGGAAAATACAGATAACAATGCCAAATGGCCAACTTCAACGACGACTGGTGCGTGGCTGTCCCCAGGGTTCATGCCTGGGCCCAGTCTTATGGAACCTGGTTGCCAACACGATATTTGATCTTTACAATGGTGATGAGACTGTCAAAGTCCAGGCATTTGCCGACGACTTTCTGCTTTTGGTCACTGGAAGACACAGACTGTAGGAGAATGTACAGCGAGTACTGAAGCTCTTTGCACAATGGGCAGCCGATCACAAATTGGAAATTTCAGCGTCCAAAACTAACATTTTACTCATAGGGCGTAAAGATCCACTGTGGCGGAATCCAACTATAAGATTATTAGGTCATCCAGTTAGGACTGTTTCCCAGTTGAAATATCTAGGTGTCATCATAGACAACCGCCTCAACTGGATTCCACATTTGCATCATATACACCAGAAAGTAGTATCTCTTACCAATAGCATGAGACGAACTAATGGCATGTATTGGGGCATTAGACCAGATATGTTGGAGATCTGGTATCGCACAATAACAGCGAGGGTGATTTTGTACGGGTCTTCAGCATGGAGTATTCATCTCAATGGAAACCTGAGGAGGAAACTCAATTCTATTCAGCGTCTCCAACTCCTCATGATTATTAAAGCTTATAGGACCACCTCGACAGATTCGTTGCAGGTGCTCGCTGGGTTACCACCATTGGATCTTGTCGTGGAGAGGGAGGCTGGACAAGCACGGATCCTACGCATAAAGGAAGATTTTATCTTGTGGGGTACCCATTACCGCACTTGTGATTACGAGGATCATTCCCCTCGTTCTCTGGGACATCCGGCGGACATAAATTATGATGACAAAGTCACCATAGAGCCCTTAATTCCGGCTAGGCACGAAATTTGTCTTTATACGGATGGTTCCAAAACGGAAAAACGGAACTTGGCACAGGTAGCGGCTTCTGCGTCATGCGAGGCAATACTATCTGCTACACTTGGTCACAGAGGCTGTCAGATTACAATAGTGTATTTCAGGCGGAACTTGTAGCAATTAAGGCAGCACTAGATTATATTAAGTAAAATCTAACAGGACCAGTCAGAATACTGAGTGATTCAGCATCGAGCCTACTGGCCATTAACGAACTCAACAGCAACGTGGATTCTGTCCACATTATTAGGGATGCTCTACTTCAGTTTCCCGAGTCCCAACGACAGTACTTGAGCTGGGTTCCAGCGCATGTAGGCATTGCTGGAAACGAAGAGGCCGATAGGCTTGCTAAGCTAGCAGCTAACGACTTGAATCTGCCTGTAACACCTCTAAAAGCACCAGTTTCTTATTTAAAAAAGATTACCGAACTCAAAATGTTAGAAATTTGGCAACAGAGATGGAACAACTCCACCACAGGCCGCAGAACCTTTCGTTTCTTTCCCAAAGTTGGTCTGAATCTGGTTACTAGTAGTGCTCATCTTACACATTTCTTTACTGGTCACGGACCATTTCCAAGCTATTTAGGGCGCTTCAGATTAGCTACTTCAGACAGTTGTAGATGTGGAACACTAGGTGATCCGGATCACTTTGCTTTCGAATGCTCTCTCACGATACCATTTCATTTAAAAAAAACCTCTGAAGCACACTGGTCCGGGTGGTCAGACACCCTCAAGAGAAGTAAGCTCGCATTTAATCAGATTCATCGAGTAATGGACATTTGTGCTCGTGAATTCTGTTGAACAGAAGCGGTGTCAACAGCAGCTACAGCAGGCAATTCTATACCAACAACTATAGAAGATCAGTAGCTTTTATAATTCTTACCTTACAAATTTGGTATCTTACTATATACGATAATATTCAACTACTGAAATTAGGAGAATTTCAGAGACTAATGGCATGCCATTGTACCTATGTTACGTATATGCATGACAGCCATGTTTAATGCAGTACATGAATAACTTTGCTGGAACATGTTACCTCCTAGATGCAGATTACCACAATCAATGTCTGTCTATTTGTACTTCAGTGTCGCTTCTGTTCATTATTAATCTTTAAATTTTATTGTGTTTACTTAATTTTTGTATTGTATTCTGTGTATTTCAATTTACATATTGTCTTAGTGTATTGACCTGTTAAGTAGTAAGTGCGTTGTGTTATGTTTTCAAATTAAGTTTGCGGTATAATAGTAAATACATATATAGAGCTCTCGGCTAGTACCATGAAATACTGTGTGCAAATGTTTTGTAGCAGTTTCTAGTATTGTGCAAAATGCAACAGTTTCTAACAAATATTCGTGGCCGCAGAACCAACTTTCTGATAAGCACATTGTATATTGATTGTTATTTTGTAGTATTCGCCATTTTATTTCAGTGTATGTACAATATTCCATTAAGTATCTTGTATAACTTTTTTCTATTAATGTGGAGTATAATAGTTTAGGGTCGTATAATGATAAGTAAGTGTGATGTATAATAGTAGTATTGAACCAGACTTTCTTGGTTGTAGAACTTAATATGTATTGAAATATTTTACTGGATTTAATGTTTTGAAATGACTCGTATTCTATCTCTGCTACAATATATTATATTCCTAATTTCACTGTGACTGTTTCCAAAGGTTATTGTCTAGTGTTCTTTTGATTAGTTTTAGCGTTACAGTATAGCATCATGTACAGAATTGTCTACTTTTCTGATACGAGCAGTGTATATGTTGTGTTTTATTTGTAGTATCAGCTTTACTATGTCAGTGTGTACTTTTCTGATACGAGCAGTGTATATGGTGTGTTTTATTTGTAGTATCAGTTTTACTATGTTAGTGTGTTGTTTAGTATTATAGTAATATATTGCATAATATGTTTTTTTTTAGTAATGTGCGGAATTATAGTAAGTGTATAATAGTAAGTCAGTGTGATGTATAGCTGCAAGCTTGAAATTCCAATGTTAGTCTTAAATTTTACTGTTTTTGTTTTACCTTTACCAGTTTTGTATCAATGCAGCTTTGTACTTCTAAGTTTTTTTTTAATTTATGCTATCAGGAATGTCATATGTATTCAAGGTAGTCCTTTGTATTCCCTATCTAGATGTGACTCTGTAATCTTTTTTTTTTTTTTTTTTTTTAATTTAGACTTAATAAATGTCTGCAGGGCGGACATCATACTGCAAGGGCTTGTTCCCGGTCAGTAGTTCTCCTTAGCAGTGTAAAAGTTAAAAAAAGTCATACGGCTTTTTGGCTAATATCAAAGTGTAGTCATAAGAGATATCTTGCAAGACGATATAAAATAACTGATTGCTGACTGATGAACTTGATAGCGAGCATGGAATGTTATTGCTTCATTCTGATGTTAGATGGCTCAACAGGGAAAAAGTACTTCAACGATTTGTAGAACTTCTTTCGCCAATAAAGCAGTTTTTGGAATCCGGAAACGAAAGTTATAAAGAATTGGACGATAATAATTGGGTATCCCATCTGTATTTTCTTACGGATATAACAGCTAAACTGAACGAAGATCTCCAGGGAATAGAAACAAACCCTTTTTCAATTGATTGGGACTGTAACTGCTTTTCAGATAAAGTTAAATTTGTGGATAAATCAGATAAAAGAAAAAAAATTCACCCATTTTCAGAATTTATCAAGCCATATTAATAACCACAAGGCAATTGAAACAGAGAAATACTCGCAAAACCTACATGCTTTGAAAAATAATTTTTAACTCCGCTTCTCTGATTTCCATAAAGTTTAACCAATATTATTATTCATCTCAAACTCATTTGCCGAAATTAATATTTCAGATGTATCACATAAGATTGGAAATATGTTTAACAAAAAAAAAAAAAAAAAAAAATGTTGTTGTTTTGGAAATGTGCTCGCGATAGGCAAAAATGTGCTCGCGAGAGGCCAAAGGTTGGGCACCACTGAACTAGAGCAAGTAATAAACAGAAAAATAAATTATTTTCTACAATAGATACTGCAAAGATTACTGATAATATTAATAATTTCTTTCTAACTGCAAATTTCATGAAAAATATCATTACTTGGTTGCATACTTGTAAGAACAAATTCTTAATGAAACTTATTAATTTCGTTAAACTGTAGTTTAAGGAATACAATATAATCAAAGACCTCATTTTTGATTTTTGCAAATTTAAATTCTCTACCACTAACAAGTACAATAAATATTACTGCAAAATCGACTTCCTGCATCCGACTATTACAATATTCAGTTCAGCAATATTTTTCAAAAAATGTCAACAACAATTTCCTGCTACTAAAGCACAAGTCACACCAGCTTTCAAGTATCAAAAACCTCTTAGCAAATTGCTAATTAACTACCATGATCTAGCTTCTATTACCCATTGATACTGCAAAGAACCTCAGTATAAAGACTACATAGACGAGTATCATAGACATATTTTATTACTGGCAATTTAACAATAGTTCAAAAACAGCATTTCAGAAATTTTATGAAAAAAGACACAAAATTTTGACCAATAGTGAAAATTGGCAAAAATCACAGTTTTACAAGTTTCGAAACAAATCTAGACGAGTTCATAGATAAAACTAGTTACAAATTAAATATTCCAGATTCTGCCTTTATGGCTTGGAAAATTCAAATGCTAGAAGAAATTACGCAAAGAATTCGATGGATTGAATTTAACAGAAATTTACCATCGAATTTTCTTAATCCTCTCATGAACGATTTGAAACAAAATTCGTAATAATCAAAACTGACAAAGCCAGTAATAATTTAAAAATTATTTGAAAATTTTTTATGTCTCACTAATTTAAACTAAACTGAATAATGCCATTACTTACAAATATACCAAAACGCAAGAATATATCATAGCAAAAAGCTTAAAGTATTTCATAAAAAACTACAAATTAGATGGTTATCTAACTACAATCGATTCGCAAATCTTTATACTCTTCCTAAATTCCATAAATCACCGCTCAAATTTATATTTATTGCAAATGGTACAAATAATTATAAAGAGAATATAGACTACATCTTTGCAATTAAACTTAAAAAAATCTCTAATTTAATTCATCAACTACTAGTTAACAAGCAGCACAACTATTGTTGGATTATTTTATAATAATGATACAGTTCTCAATTTAAAAGTTTAGAAGTCAAAAATATTAATTGTTATGACTTCGAAAATATATCTTTTCCATTGGATGAAGTTTTTACTAGTTTAATGCAACTACCACAACTTTTTCCTGATATGCTAAGCATGCTCTGAATTGACAGATGGAAAACATACCTGCATTGTACATTATTTAATAACTACAGTAGACTCCCGATTATCCGCGCCTGCCGCACAAAGTCTTTTTTTTTTTTTTCAAGCGTACAACAAAGAAAATAAAAATGTTCACAAAACTGAGCGAAACGTTCAATTTGCTAACATCGTGCTTATTTATAGCAAAAATATGCCAGGCCTTCTCGGAACCTTCCCCTCTGATGAGTAAGTAATTTCTTACTCACCCTTGCAGTGCCCGCTCCACCGCCCTCTCTCATCTTACTGACACGAACACTTCCTCCCACTCGCCATTGTTAGTTTAAGCCTGATAGTGTTTGCGAACCGGTTGGAGTTAATTTCTTATCTTTTATTGTGTTCAGTGCTTGTGCTTTTTGCTTTTGTGTTTTTCGTTACCGATTTAAAATGCCAGGAAAAAGAAAGAAGGTTGTGTTGACGATTGCGCAAAAACTAGAATTAATTTCCAAAGTAGCAAACTGCGCTACAAGGCAGTAGATGGAATTGGATTACGGAATATCGGAAACAACTGTGCGTGACATTCTAAAGCAAAAAGACAAACTGGTGAACTTTGCATCAATGTCGGACAGTGCTTCCGCAATGAAAACGCGAAAAACTATGAAGGGTTTTACCTTTGATGAGCTAGACATGGCATTGACAGAGTGTTTAACTCAAGTTCGAAAAGAGGGTACTCCTGTAAATGGTCCTATC